TTACCATACAATTTGAACCAGATCAGCCTCAGGTGGTGGAACTGCAGATCGTTAAAATGATTCTTGAACGGTTCTCAGAGGCCATTAACATTGTCTCCGATTCTAGGTATGTGGTCAATGCTATGCAAGTGCTTGAGACTGCCGGTTTAATTAGATCCACTTCCACAGTGGCTGGGCTGTTCCTGTCTATCCAGACATTGCTTCAGAACAGACACCATAAGGTCTTCACCACCCACATAAGAGCACATACATCCCTGCCAGGGCCTATGACACAGGGGAATGCGGCTGCTGACACTGCCACTCGCCCGTTATGGATTTTTACCTTACTAACACCAATCGAGCGAGCCCGTGCCTTCCATGATAAATTTCATGTTAATGCCAGGACACTAGCAAACCATTTCCATGTTTCTAGAGCAAATGCACGAGATATCGTGCGACTATGTGACTCCTGTGCCACATACAAACCTGCCATACCGATGGGAGTAAACCCTCGAGGTTTGATCCCTGGTGATGTTTGGCAGATGGACATCACACATATACAGGAGTTTGGGACTCTTAAATATGTTCATGTTTCCACAGACACCTGTTCTCGCGTCATATTTGCAACAGCAAAAACAGGTGAAAAAGTGTCTAATGTGATCAATCATTGCCTGGCGGCTTGGGCCGCATGGGGCAAACCAAAAATATTAAAAACTGATAATAGACCAGCCTATATAGGCAAAGCTTTCAATGAGTTCTGCAAAATGATGGAGGTTCAATTAAAACATGGTATCCCATACAATCCCCAAGGTCAAAAAATCATTGAGAGGGCTCATAGAAGCCTCAAAGAAATTTTACAAAAACAAAAAGGGGGAGTAGGCCAAGGCCTGGCCCCAAAGGCACGATTATCCATGGCACTATTCACACACAATTTTTTAAATTTAAATAATGATAATCGCTCCCCAGCTGTGGAGCACTGCAACCCTTCCCCCAACCATAAAGGGTGGGTGAAGTGGAAAGATGTCCTGACAGGACAATGGATGGGCCCGGATCCAGTGGTCAGCTGGAACCGAGGCGCGGTTTGTGTTTTCCCACAGGAACCGGGACGAGAACCACTGTGGATACCGGAGAGACTGACACGGACAACAAAGCCCTCGACTAAAGATCAGACCTGCCCTACTGGAGATCCATCACAGACCAACCAACAAGATGAATAGAAATAGCGGTAGCCCGAAATGGACAAAAAGATCCTCAGGCATATGCATGGCTCGCTCGCCTAGCCTACGACCGAGTCTAGGGACGGTGAGCTTCCCACACTCCTCCTCTAAAAAATTATGATATAGCAGGGTAGATGAGTCAATGACGGGTAAGAGCGTGCCTCCCCAGCATGACTCGACCTAAGCCAGGCCCTACCCCATCCTGCACGTAAGCCGCTGGACTGTTAGATGCTGCCCAGGTCTAAATTTCTCTCCGAGGGGATTTCTTTACGGAGAGAAAATGAGTGCAAGCTTGTGTGCATCCAGGTTCCGTCCAGTTTGTGCCTGGCCCTAGAAAAAGGACGAGGGCCTCAGGGCCTTGGCAGACCATGGGACGGCCGACCAGGGTCTAAGCCAAGGACCTACGGTGGGCCTACACATAGGGCATAAGCCTCTGCACCCAGTCCAGGAAGGGCTACGATGCGCACATTCATAAAAAATAAAAAAGGGGGAGATGTTGGGAGCCGCAGCCCCGAGCCCGGTCGCCTCACTTGGCGGACGTGAGGCCTGTAGTAAAGAGTGAAGCCTGAGGTAGATTGCCCCTCCCATCGAATATGTTAGTTTCCTGCTTACCGCGTAAACAACCCGCTCAACAATATAGTCTGCCTGGCAACTGATGATGTTAGCCAATCAGCTTGCCTTGCTTACTTTAACATGATTGGACACTGTACCCGTATATATACCGGTGCCACCCCTGGGCGGAAGTAGAAGCCAGATAGAAGCCCGGAAGTAGAAGCCCAAAAGGAGCCGCGGAGAGCGGACCGGTAGAGGCTTTGGGGCAGACTGAAGCACAAAAGGAGCCGCGGGGAGCGGACCAGAGGAGGCTTCAGCTGGGAGAACCCAGGGCAGGCTGTACGGAGAAGAAAAATAAAAGAAAAGGTTGTCCACTACCAGACTTTGTCGTGTGTCCTTCCTGCCGGCCGGGAGCGGACATCGACATCCTGCCTGTACAACTTAACTTTGAGATAGATTCTGAACCTTCCCACCTTACAACTATAGGAGATAAGGATTTTAGGTCATAGTGAGGCAGGATAGAAAAAATGAAAACTAGGTAGGAAGGAAACTTAGATTTTAAAATTTAGAAAAGCTACAGCTTCACGACACAAAAGGTACTCAACACACTTCCCTTCCAGGAAACTAACTCAAAAAAAAAAAAAAATCCCTTAAGTTCCTTTTACAATAAACCTGTAAATCCAGGCCCTTAACCTGTCCTTCTCAGCTATGAATTGTACTTCCTCAATTCTCAGGAAGCAGCAATATTGGTGGGCAGCATACTTCAACTTCAAACACAAATAGATGGTTTGTATTGTAACCTGACAGTGACCACCCGTCTTAAAGACACCCCTTAAATATTTCCCATTCTTGCTCGTAATGAGACTCACTTCTCCGAGCACACACACATAACAAACCCTTATGTCTCCTTTATTAACACGGCCTGAAAATTCTTTTTCTGCAACTAGAGTCAGAGAATCTGCAATGTTACTTTTAAAGAATGGGATAGGTTCTTTGTTTCAGCTCAGTGAGAATAGGACTTGGTGGTTCTTCAGTTGGACCCTAAACTGGGAAATGAAAGTCATGAGCTCATAATTTTCTTTGCTCAAGTTTCTCAATACACTTAAGAGTATTACAGCCCTTATTTCCACTAAAACGTTCTGTGCATAAAATACTGGTTCCTTGAGTCATCCCTTCTCTAGGTAATTAGTACAGGTATCTATAGGGGGACTTTGACTGTTTTGCCACTGCGTTCCAGGCTCCCCGTGTCCTCTTTACTGTTCAAAACAAGGTCATCAATGACTTTAAATGTAATTGTATCAGAACCAATTGCAGATAACACAGGACCAATTTTGAGAACCTGTTCTCAAGCTGTTGATCTCCAGAGCCACTCTCAATGCCAACCTCATAGTCAGCATCTCATCAGAGAAGTGAGGATTTACCCACAGGCAACTGGGGAAGTGCTTAGCTTCAATGTGAGGTGACTGTGTTTGCTGCTAGAATGTGAAACAGAGCAGAAAGAAAGATGTGAGGTGGGAGAACTTAAAAAAAAAAAAAAAAAAGTGCACACACTGTCTGATTCAATTCAAGTGAAATCCTAAAAACAAACCAAATAAACCCCCAGTAAACCAAAAATAGATCAGTGATTACCTAGGGCTGGGGAGACACTCGCTACAGAGGGGCATGGAACTTTCTTCTAAACCAAATGTTCTAAACCTTGCACATTGGTGTATAAATTTGTCAGAACTCATTAAGCTATACTATAAAAATGGTACATTTTATGTAAACCATATTTCCACTAAACTAACAATGACAAACTGATGGATAGAAATCACCAGTATATCTGAATGTGCACTAAGTTTCTTGGTTTCTGTTTCTTTGTTGGTAGAACATGTCAGAGGTCAAGGTTACACTTAAATGGCTGGCTAAATTATAATCACGAAGTAGATGGAGATACAGAAAATGATGCAGAGTCAATAAAAAGTCTATATGAATGCTTTTAAGTGGCTAGATTTTGATGGCAATATGCTATTTTGCGATTAAACATGCTTGAGTATTAAAAGTTATCAAAGTACTTAGAAAACTCCATCAAATACAGTCTGACTCTTGAGGAATTTAATCAATATATGAAATCTTTGCCAAATGTTCAAGAAACCACAATACAATATATAAGTGGTGTTAAATGTTTACAATTTGATGAGTAATACTTATGATTAATCAGAGGTTTTGGTTTTTGTTTACAAATTCTACTGTCCTTAAAATTTAGTAATATAATCTTCAAGTTGACCAGAGATTTAAGGGCATGCACACCTACGCTTCGAATGCTAGGGATCAAATCCAGGATGCACCCTTAGTCCCAGAACTGTATTTAATGAAACAAGTATTTTTCTAACATACCCAAAACCTACCTTGACAGTAAAACTCACTGAAACATGGTTCACATTTTCTTCTTGTATATGAAATTTCTTCTTCAGAGAAGCTGTTTCATTGTTTTGTAGACTAGCATTGTTTTATAGCAATGTTTTTAGAATGAAAGTATATGGCAACCATCTAGTTTACCTTATAATTTACAGTACATACTGTTTTTTTTAATTTTACTTACATGATTTCCTCTGTACCCCGTCCCTATAGTTCACTGTCTTTTATCCTCCAGTTTTACAGTATATCTACACAGTCTCCTCTCCCCCTGCGGTTTCTCCTAAAGTCCTATCCAAGGCATAATTACAATCATCACTGAGCCTAGAAAGAAAAAGCATGAAGCACTTGACACTAACACATTAGTTGATACTTTACTTTTTCTAACTAAAACTTGTTCATGGTTTTGTCCAATTACAGTTGGAGAAATCAGAGTTATGCAATTTATGAGTCGCACAGCCAGGACTCACACTTGTCCATTTGTGTCCAAAGCTCTCTGCAACTCTGAGCAGTCTGTCTTTTCTTGGTGCAAGCAACCCTTTTGAAGATCCATTCATAACCAGAGCACTATGTTAAGAGAGAGGGAGGTAGGTTCGTTGAGTCCCTAATCAATACTCCATTACCAATTTGGATGTGGTCAGACTCAGGGCTACTGCCTGATTTTGAGGGAGGGCAAAAAATGTCTTCAAATAGGTACAATCTTTGACTCTCCTCCTGTTTATTCCCCCAAGGCACTCAACAAATGTCAGGCAATAAAAACAATTCGATGTGTAAACAGGGAGCATCAAAACAGGTGCGGTGCTTGTTACCTATGTGGGATTCATTAAATATACACTAAAGAGAATCACAGTTTCACCATTTCATTTAATACATTCAGCAAAGTATTTATTGAAGCTCAGTTATGTCTCAGACATCTATAAGAACACATGATAAATGCAATGATGATTTCTACTTTCAAGGTCTAGAACAAATAGTCAGTGCACATAACAGATGACCAAAAGCAGGAACTGCTGAAATACTGTCAGTTAAGTTTTTCGAGTCTATAAACATAAGGAAAGAGAGTTCTTTTCCCTTAGTAGTTTCTTCAACTGGGTCACTTACAAATAGGAATTTACTTCACACAGTTCTAGAGATTCAGTCCAAGATCAAAGTGCCAGAGGGTTTGGTGTCTGGCAGACTTCATGTTTCCATGATGTCACCTTGGTGCTGCAGCCTCTGGGGAAAAGGAATGCTGGGTCCTCACATGATGGAAGGAATTAAAACACAGAAAGGACAGCGCTCCTCTACACCTTTAATCCTATGCCATGACGAGGGTGTGACTTCATTACTCCTAATGATCCTGCCTCTCCCACTGTCAAACTGATGATTCGGTTTTAATGTACGGATTTCAGGGACACATTCAGACCACAGCATCCCTCTGGATAACTTTATTCCTGCTCTGTATGGCAAATGTGTGACTTCACACTTAAACCTGTCCCTGGCTTCTAGAAAATAGGAGGCAAAATAAAAATAAAATAAAATTTAAAAAAAGGAAACACCAGATTCAGTATTAAGTATTAAGCATTCAGTATTAAGAGAGACAGGGAGGAAGATGAAGGCACAGTAAATTTCTGTGGGTTTTTGAAATGTGCTCTCAATCACCTCCATCTACCCTGTTTCTACCAGCAAAATGAAACAAATGTAACCTTCATTTTCCCCTTCTGTTCTGTAACTATATAAAGGTTTCATTCGAGGGGAAAAGTTTTTCAATTGCTATTCCTATAGGAAGTTCAGGTCTTCCCTGAATATTCTGAATTTCTCTAATGGAGGAGGATATGATGAAGTATTTTTTAAAAAGTTAGAATTTCTCAGCACAGCTCAACTTAAAAAGACCAGATCTTAAGGATGAGAAGGCAGACTATCTGACTATTCTTAACACTTTAAAAGTGTTCCTTCTCCTCATAAATTATATCCTTTCCTTTATATTAGCTAGACAAGAATAAAACCTCCAGATGTAATTGCACATTGTATCAGAGTTACAGAGTCAGACACACTAAGACAATGAATGCAGAGAGAACTTGAAATATTTTAGAGCTCATTTAGCATTCTGACATCATCATTTCCTTCCTGCACCTCATGAAGAGGGTAATAAACCACATGAATGTGATAAGTTTGCTATCTGTTTAGGAAACTGGCTTCTTCTTCACCCCAGCACGTGGCTGGGGATGGACTCTGTTCCAGTCCAGTGGGCCATGATTAAGTTTTGTTCAAGAAATGTGAGCAAAAAGACACATGCACCACTTCTGGTGCATGCATAGATGTTTCCTTCTTTCCTCGTGTGGCCCTGACAAAGTAGATTCTTAACTAAAGGATGGAAATCAGGCTGTAGACCATGTGGAAACGCGTCTGCAGACCAGAAACATCAGCCTGAGAGTTTCTGTGCGAAATTAACCTTGCAGCAGCTACTGAACTGAGTCCTGGTTTCTTCATGTCAAAGACTCACAGCAGCGCTGTGAAGAAGAAAAGCTCAGCACATATTAGCTGTCACTATTGTTAAAAACATTTACTTCTCTTTAATTTCTTTCTTTTTCTTAGGCTAAGTGGAGCACTGGGCTGGGTGGCACAGCAAAAAGTACTCAACTGAACTTACCTGTTTAAACAACTAACTGGTAAACCTAATTCAACATTTTAACATTGGAAAACATTTCCTTCTGGACTCCAGTTATTAAATTTTGTGACCAGTCTCCTGCTAAAATACAGCAGTATCCTGGTTCACAAACTCAATTCTCCCCACAATTCTGGTCACAAATCGATCTGAATGAGAAATGAATCGAATTTCCCCATAAGGTCAACACTGAATCTAAATCTAACAAAGACGTGAGACAGAACAACAACGTGAGACCCTTCCCCCCTTCTCGCTTCTCAGCGAGACATCCAGGAAAATTCTAAAAGTTTTAACAATCCATATCGTCTCTGGTTTCAAATTTACATCATCTGTGCAAAGAACATTTTGTACTATAACATTATTTAACTGATGCAGTAGAGTAACAGTATGACCAACTGTTACTGACTTTATATAAATAGCAATAGAGTGCCTTTAAAATTATGTTTTTCTAATACATTTATGTTAAAACACACAACTTTTTTATGAAAAAGTTGAGAGACAGACAAAGAGGAAAAAGAGATTTGTACAGAAATCTTCCTAGACCTAAATATTTGGCAATTATTTCCTGTCATAAGAGCCAGGTTTTTAACTTTGAAAAATATCAAAAGTGCGGTGCATTGATTTAATTAAAAATTCATCAGTGCCAAATATATGATCTGAGCATCAAATTTCCCTACCCATACTGAATCTCCACTTTTACACTTATTAAATAATGGTTTTAAATGGTAACCATCAGTAGTCAAGTTAAATAATCTCATATCTGAGTTACATCAAGGTAGAACTGTTACTTTTAAAAATTCATTTTATTTATTCATCAGTAAAATGGGCCAGTTGATGATATCCCCAGAAAAATGAGGCTTTTATAGGAAAATGATAATCTTATACCTGCTACTGTCACTGACACTAATATATCAGACTTTTTCTCCAAGCTAATATTTCTACTTAAGCAAAATCCAGTTGAGTAGTCATTATCATACCAATACTGAAGAATTAACCATTCCTCAAACAAGAAACCATCATCACATTAGTATTTCTTGATCATGGTATTTATTCTTGTTATTATGGACCACAACAAATCTTTCTTGCTGAATATGGGTGGATTAAGGCAAAAGGATATCTAGCCAGGTCCCTTCAGTAGTTTATTCTTTCTTTAATTTAGAACTATTGCTGAGGCTATAAAAACTATAGATTTGCTGGTTGGAAAGATACAAACTGTCCTTGAACCAACACTCAGTATTTGAAATGTGGTATCAGAATCTTGTACACAAATCTTCTAAGACCTAAATATTTGGCAATTATTTCCTGTCATAGGAGGCAGGTTTGTAACATTGAACTACCAGAAAGACCATTCCACAGCAGCACGCACAAGGCTGATTTTCAAATGATGCCATTTACTTGCCATGTGTCCTCCCTGGGTATCACTTATTTCTCCTTGTTACAAATATTTAAGATTTGGGCAACAAACTACTCTTTTTTTGTGAGCTCTCCATTGCTTAATTTGTCATTTCTATAACCGTTTTCTGAAGGGTTACTGCACTTTTGTTCTGACACATTCTTCACATAACTAAGTGGTCCCTTGCCCTCAAAGGAAGATGGATTTTTGAATGAGCCTCCAATTCTATCCCACAATGTGAAGTACTGCCCATAGTTATAGTCAAAGAACAGGTGGTGGTCTGTGTGATGAGCTGAACCATTAATAAACGGCCTGAAGATCCGGGGCACACGAAAATCACCATCGTGAATGGAAATTGTCCAGATATTAACGAAGATGTACAAGCCTAAGTAAACCAACTTGTGTAATGGAAAAAGAAAAGGGTATATGTGATAAGGCAAGCTCTGAAGAAAGCCGTCCAAAGGATGAAAAGCATGACTTGCAAACGGAGTAGGAATCTTCCACATATGATGAGGTTTATGAATATGCTGGAGAAGAAAGGGACATCATTAGCACCATGAGCTTTACCCAGTGCAGCAGTCAACCTCACTTTTCATATTCACGTTACAGAGATGGCCTAACTCAAAGAGCCCTCTGAAATCGGCAGAATGGCTTTGTAGAAGGACCCCTTTAATCCACAAGTGAAATTTTAACACAGTCCCTCTAGATCCATAAAGAATATAAGCAAAACGTACCTGGGACCTGCTACAACTCTGGCTACTTAAAACATTTCACACAAGAAATTCTTGCGAAACAGAATACAACTTACAATCGTACAGTGCTAAATTGTGTAATACTTTCTCTATTTCCCCTTCTAGTGACTCTACCTTGTACACAAGTTTATGGTGAAGGCCTCTGTGAATCCAATAGATCAGCATGTCGGTGAAAAAGATGAAGGATATTACGCTAACAATGAGGTGAAGCCAGCCTAGAAGAGACAGCAGGGAACAGGAGAATCAAGATTCAGCTGCTAAGACCAGAGTTCACTTTCACTTGTTCACACAAGTGCAGAACGCAGTTCCAGAGTCAGACAGTAGGAACTGCTTTGGCTAACTCCATACAGTATAAATTAATCTCCCCTCACCCCATGGAATCTGGTCACTTCCTTATCTTTCTTCTCATAAGAACCTGAAACGGCCAACATTTAATTGATTTCTTTTATATTATTTTTAACTGGTATACCAAAAACAAAATTTTACCTATAAATAAGTGATTGGTTTCTTATTAAATCCCAAAGGCACACTTGAGACTGAAAAGGACGTTCCTGAGTTATCTTTAATGTTATTTAAATCTCAGAATACTTGTATGTGATCCTCTTCCGTCGTAGTAATCTTCCTAAAACATTATCTTAACAATAGGATCGTCTTGCTTAGCCCTCTGCTTTCTACAGGTCTCTGCCTAGCGCTAACTGATAATTGGTGCTTTCTGACGTTTCCAGTCTTTCTATTCCGACACTTCTGCTCTAACCAGGTGAGTTTACTCAGTGTCCTCCTGAAGCACTGACACTCTTAATTTTCTGTCCCTTTGCTCACATGCTGCTAAATGTAGAATGCTCCCCTCTCCCCCACTTTTTTAAATTTATATGCCGGATTAGTTTTCAAAGTCTAGGCAATTCTAGTGTATAATTTTAATCCATCCTCTAGGTAACTAACCTCTCACTTTGAAAGCACAGTTCTAGTGAAAGCATGCCTGGTTCAAGTCTTAGATCCACCATCTATTTGCTGAGTGATACAAGCAGGTTACTGAAATTCTCTGTATACTTAATCTACTCACCTATAAAAGGAACACAGTAACAGCAACTCTTGAACTGTTGCAGAAAAAATGGATCAAGACACGTAAAGAGCTTAGGACTGTCACTAGCACAGTTTAATACTCAATAAATGCTAACTGTTATTCTTTCTCTAAACACTAGACATGTATCTTGATGAAATAATTGCAGAATTCTACAAAAGTTTAATTATTATGAGACTGTTTACAAGATAAATATAAATATCTAAAGGTCTATAATAAACTATAGACACGTATACAGTAAGATAGTCACTACTGGACTATTTAATGGCAACATTTATTGATATGAAGTTATGTCCATATTTATTCAGGTGAAAAAAGCCAGGTGCAAACTAGTATGTACAGTACAATTTCTTTTGCAGTGTAAAAAATGACGTACACAGGCACAGAGAAGTTGGAAGATATGTGACAAAAGATGTATGGTTTCTTAAAAATCTGTACTTTCTGATGTTCAGCAACATTCACCCGCCACTTGATGTACCTTTTTTTTTGGTACTGGGTATCGAACTCGTGATCTCACACTTACAAGGCAAGTGCTTGAGCCCCTGAGCTAAATCCTCAGCTCCTTGACTCACCTTTTTAGAAGTTTGAATTCAGTAAAAATAATAGGAAACAACCCTGTCTGATTACTTAAAGTTTTCTTAGGCACAATTTCATCTGTAACCACCTTCAAAATTGATAGATAAAATGAAGGAAATATATATATATGTGGCAAGATATGAATCCATGAAAGCAGCAGGTTAAAAGCTACTGAAGAATTTAAAAGAAGGAAAAAGGGGGGGAAATTGTTTCTATAAAGATACCAGACAGGTTCAGACCAGTCTCCAACCGCTTTCTTTACTTACCGTGTGGGAACTCAATGTCGTCATATAATTTGCTGTAACCTTTCACCTCCAGCAGGAACAGTGCCACTGTGGGAATGCTGATGTACGGCATTGACTGGACAGTGAACTTAATCTCTCGAGAGACTTGATTCTGAAAGTAAAATCTCCAGTATTAAAAAGCCACAAAATCTACTGCTACAAAAATGGCGTAAAATTGTTTTGGATTGGATTTTTTAAAATTCTCTCTTATATACATTAAAGGGCTTTTCTCCATACTGTTTCTATAAAAATTTCAATGAGAACACATAAGAAAAAGATTCCTTTTGTATTGAGCAAATAATGCAACTACCTTAAGTTCTAAAATTTTTTCTCCTTCCCATAAAATTTGTATTCTAAATTTCTATTTACAAAACAATCATGTCTTCCATCCCCAATCCTATTATTAAAAATAATTCAGGACAGGGATATACTCATTAGTGCAGCCACTAAATTTCTGCCTGGGGAACAAGAAGCCCTGAGTTTGTTCTCTGGAACTAAAAAAGAAAAAAGAAAAGAAAAGCGGGGGTGGGTGGGGGAGCCTCTAAAATACTGTTTCGTCCTTGGAGCAATTGACAAAATACCAAATAAGTGAATGACCATATATAACTCTAATGCTGTGAGTTTGAATCCCCTGTCTGATCAAAGAAAAATATATGTTTAAAGCATACTTCAGTTTGTAAAAGTCAAACAAAATAATTACATAAATGAGTACATTTATTATGCACTAAAACTGTATTAGCAAAAAACATTTCTCATCTATGTTATCTAGCAAGGTAAGTGGTAGGTTTATAGTCAAATAATCAAATTCACTCATGTTTAAATTAGGGGTGAAGAGAAGAGACTATCACTCAGAAAATATCTAAACCATTTTAGGAGGTGGTTTCAAAACTTCAGTTTAATCTGAAAATCTGACAAACACATCATATATTTTTACTATACATCACATTTTATTTTATTGTAATAGTAGTTAGAATATAGGTAAAAAAAGAAGTACCTTACCTTCAAAAATTGTGGATGTTTCATTAATGAATGGTCAAAGATAAAATAATAGCTCAGTGTTGCACAGAAGAAATAAAGAACAAAAGCACCAAGGTTTGATACAATCAGGAGACTAATAGTTTGTCTGAAAATGTCATCCTCTGGCCACGTGGATGGATATACATATGGCGTAAAAAAATAGTAATCTGTGATATTGAGGACATAGTCCATGTTTGCCTCTGAAAGATAAACGTGTGACAATTACTTATCACATCTACATTTTTCTTAGCAAAACATTTTCTGAAAACTATGCATCAAGTTTCCAATTTAAGATTATATGTGGCACAAAACTGTTGCCCATAAACTCCTCTAACTGCCATCTTTAACATCAGAAAAGATCTAAATACTATCTCTAGCCCAATTTCCTCACATTATACATGAAGTCACTGAAGTTCAGCTAGAGAACTGCGGCTCGGGAAGTTTTTCCTCCAACGCCATCAAGTTAGTGACATAAACCCAGCCCAGTTTCATCAGGGTTCCTGTAGCGACATGCACATCATAAAGATGGAAATGCAGACAGACCCACATGGCTACATGTTTCGTCACGTCTGTGTCCTGTCAGGGACTCGTATTTTGGATTTTTATTTCACTTCTGTCTTTCCTTGCCCAGTAAGTCCAACACCTGAGTTTTCTTAGGGACAGTTTAGAGCGACTGTCTCTTTTAGTGTATACTCTCCTATTTCTTTGTATGTCTCATAATTTCTTTCACAGAAAAAGAACATTTTAAATACCATAACATGGCAACTCTGGAAATCGTATCATTTATATGTTCCCACACACACACACAGGATTTTCTGTTGCTGTGCATTTAAGTGATTTCCCTCAATTACTTGTATAATACTTGTATTCTTTGGTGGGCACAATTACTGAAACTGTAATGATGACCCACACAATTTCCAATCAGGAGACTGCACAGCCATTGCTCTGGTGCTATGTGTGGGGCCACCATTTCAGTATTTCTGTGGATAGTTTGCAACTCAGACTTGGCCTTCACTTCCAACTTTAACAGATCTTCAAGCTCAAAGATCAGGGCCTGTTCCTTTCCTTTTGGGGTACATGCACAGCCCTGAGCCCCGAGTAACTTTAATTTTTGGTCACTCTTCTTAGCGCCTACCGATAACAATTCCTCCAGGAGTTCTGACCTTTAAAAAAATGATCTTGGAAAATGATCTTGGCAAGGACGGAATGTTTGCAGTAAGCAAGTTCTAAGCCAGTTCTAAGGAAGACAAGATGAGAATGGAGCTTTGCAGGATACTCCCAAAAAGGTCAGACAGTTACAATTCTCCAGGCGGGCCTCCTGGAGGAGCTACAAGCTTGTTCTAGCCAGCTTTCATGCCAATGGCTGCCAGGCTTTTTCTGTGATTATGTTACAAAGTTGTTAGCTTTCAAAACTATCAGGAGATGAATAAAGGACAAGTTACAATGCCACCAAGCTCGTTGTTCCTACTGAGATTCAGCAGTTTTTCTCAAATTAACGCTTTCCAGACTTACTGCAAACCTTCATTTTCCAGAGATCCAAAAATACTGAGTTTGACAATTTCTGTAAGTATTTTTGTTTCGCTTTTATGGAAGAGCAGATGTTCAAAAGTTCTTACTGTACTGCTCTGGAAGTCATCATTTCTTCTTACAGTACAGGTCTACTCCTCTCACTTAAAACATCTGGCTGGCCTCACAGGTATTTTGAAATTCAGAATTTTTAGGCTTTGCAAAGATCATAAATATCATCTTGTCACATTAATATTTGTTTAGTACATGTATGAATATTCACATTAAGTGGGAAAATACTATAAACAGTATTATGGTTTATTTATATGAGGATAACTTCTTATATTTTAGTATATTAGTTACAAATATAGTAAGCTAAATATGTAACTGTGTAATAACTGATCACAGAATTAGTAAAGATTATAAAAACTTTATTACTAGAGTAAACTTTCAAATACGAACAAAATCACAGCTAAATTCCTGTGGATGTAGACGCTAATGTGTGTGAAAAGGACCCATCACCTCTGGTCACTTGAGGATCTTACAGAGAAGAATGATCAAGCTAGAATTAGACACTGATGATGTGCCAGGATGAGGGTTCCCAGGTGATGCCACACTGCCACTCAGAAGGTTTCTGAAGTGATTTCTACTAACGCCATGCCTTAGGAACACATGTCTCAGTCTATGCAGCAGCTCTTGACTTTTCACAGTGCTTTAGTGATTCTGCCATCTGTGCCATTGACATCGTTCATGTTATCAATACTGTCCTCATGCTTACATATGTTAAAAAACCTCCCACTAATTTGTCCATCACCCAACAAATGATAGGCAGAAGCATCATAATCAATGTTTAGTACTTCAAGGGCAGCTTCTCATGACTTATTAATGATTTTGGCCATTAAATTTATCATGCAATTAGTGATTAGGTATCATTGTCTCGCTAAAAAAAAAATTCTTAAAAATATTTGGAGACTCATTTTCAAATATCACTGTCAGCTAAAATACAAAACATTTATTAATATGGATTTATCAACATTACATTGGGCAGTAAGTAACTTTGAAAACAGATCTCTGGGACACAGCTCAGCGGCACAGCTCCTGCCTCACAAGCACAAAGTCCTGAGTTCAATTCCCAGTACCAAAAAAACCAAAAAACAAACAAAAAAAAAAAACTTTATGACTGAGCTCTTAAGGAAGTTTTGGTGCCTGGGCCTCCCTTAGATGTGTGTTGTGTGGGCAGTACAAACACTTTGTCAGGCATAACACTCTTTGGCAAGACAGGCTGTATTCCAGTCACAACATCTGTGTGTGTTTGGAGGTATAGGGGGGAGGGCGGGGCGGGGATAAATGCTAACATCACTTTTACCATAAAGTCAAAGAATCTTCCTGAATAATAAAAACTGTCAGCCTTTGCTACACTTTCACACTGCTTCCCACGTTTCTGGATCCTTCCTTTTTAATGCTACTATTTTTCCTAAGTGGCACTTCTTCACATATGGTAGGCTGTTCCACGATCTAAAGAGAAATGAGTACCACTTATTTATTTCCTTATAGTCAAATCTACTTAATCAAATGTGGTCAGGCTCTTCATCTTCTGTCCCACACAATTTTTTCCTACTCCAATTTTCTCACTAGTCTTTGCTGCCACTGTAAACAACTGCTGTCTTGCTTATATCGCATGTTGGTGGCTCCTGCACTGTCTTCAGTAAGGTGCCTCCCCAGACACACCGTGCATCAGCATCTCCAAAAACCCTACTTTCTGCTCTATACAATCAATAGTGACAGGCATCAACTCATTATCATTATCATCCATATGGTTTCATCCACATGATGCTGGATTTAGGTGCATACAGAACGCAAGAGTTCTGAGATTAAAAAGACTTCCACTCCGATTTCTGAAGACTTCGGAGGCCAGGCAGTGTGTCCCTGAGAGGGCAGTATGCAAAGCTGTGAGTGTGAAGCCCAAGTGGAGAGCCCAGAAGTCTGGAAAAGCCAGGAACATGGATCATCTAAGGAAAGCTGCAAGGAGGGAGCCAAGTCCAGCCAAAGAGAGAAGCCATGGGAGCTACATCATCAGAAGTGCTATGGGGTGGAATCATCAGGTTAAACCATTTTTGATGTTTTCATATGCAATTAAATCCAAAGTAACAAACCAACAAACAAAGTAAAACAATATCAGCAAGCAAATGACAGGAATACCTGGTAGATGCACCAAGACAAAATGAATTCTTTAGTCAAAATCAGGATTCCACATCAAATGGGCTTGAGAGCAGATCCTAAAACAAAACCAAATGTAAAAACAACCTTTTGATTTTCCAGTCTTTCCAGACTTGGGAGACTGTGACTAACCCTATACTAAGTAACTGTCTACAAGTAGAGAAACTGCACTTATATCCTTTTTATATACTGGTACACTCCTCCCCATAGTAGACGTTTTACTTGGTAAGTGCTCAGACAATGGAAGATTCTGCCTATTTTTCTACAACCTTACATCAAACTTTTGGACATTCATCAATTTAACAGGAAAGAAAAAAGTTTGAGGTACATTTAATGTAGATTCACCTTATGAGTACACATCATGTTTTCTGTGAATAATCTGTTTTTAATCCCTTGATCATTTTTAGTTTGAGTTGTTTAGTTTCTTCACAAAAATCAGGTTCTAGGAGCTTATTATGTATAAGTTTATACTTCTGCTTGTAATATGAATTTCAAACTTTTTTCACTACTTTTCAGGGAAAGCAAAATGTAACACCAAGTGCTAGGCAGTCATATAAAAACTCCAGGAAACATAAACACTCCCAATAACTTAAAAAGGATTTTGCTGTATCATTAAATATGGTAAGAACTGGGCTAATCTGCATGTTACCTACATAGATACTCCTCAGGGTTATGTCTCAATAAACCTATCATAAATAGAAAATATCAACTGAAAATACCTTTCAGTTACCTATCCTTCTGAAAATTCTAGATCAGCAACACCACACACTGTAGAGTTTCGGCTGTTTCTCCCATGCTGGTGTGACTGACCGAGATGCTTTACTCACTGCTACTAACCAGCAAATGGGATCATTTTATGCACACTACAAGCTAGGGGGAAAGAACAAAATTCAAAATATGATCTCTAGTGAATGTGTATCACTCTTAAACCATTTTAAGTCAAAAAATCTTACTTTGAACTATCATTAATAGAGACAATCTGTAATGCCACAGAGCCCTAATTCAGTGTAGTACTATACATAGAATAGTACAGTACAACCAAAAAAGGAACTCAAACATTAATAAGGAATCTTCTTCTTCATTCAACCTTAGTATCAGATATAAATCAATCAAAGGAATCTCTCTTTCACTTTAAAAAATTCTCAGCTGGGCATGTAGGGACACGTTTGTAATCCCTGTACACTAGGAGGCTGAGGCAGGAGGACTGCAACTGAAGCACAGTCGAACAATTTAGCAGGACATTGTCTCAAAATTAAAAATTTAAAAAAGGCTGGGAGGTAGCTCAATATAAAAATCCTTGGTTCAGTCCCTTATATGGAAAAAAAGGTTTTCCATGAAACCTAAGACAGTCTAATTTTCCTTTTAAGACTATGCTTACTGTGTTAACTTGTATATCCCCTGCACATTATTGCTCTAACAGTAAATCAGTGCCTGGAAGGAGGAAACATCCCTCACTTAATCTAGAGGTAGTTATAGAGGTACTGTTATGTTAACCTTGTTCACACTGTTTTTAAGTTTTGGTTTTAATTAACTGTATTTATTGAATGTACTCATAAACACACTGTAATTACTGACATCTACCACCCCCCAAAAAGATCTGATGGCTATGATCCCAAAACTACAATTAAATTTTGAAGTAAGTTTACATTCCAACCCACATATGTAAAACAGATATAACAGACCTAAGTGATAGACTTGCAATCTTCAAGGACTAAGTAGTTCTGACATCATTTGATACTCAGGAGATAATCAACAAATAGGAATTATTACTATTATTACTACTGAGGGAGCCAAAGTTGAGTGAAAATTATTTTGATACAAGGCCAAGGTGCCATGTGACTTTTGTTTGCAAAATAATAATTATGATTAACAATTACTATATAGTAGGAACCGTAAATACTTTACATGAACTCAATAAATACTCAATGAACTCTTTCAAAAAGCTCAAAGAGTCAGATACTAGTATTATCCTCATTTTACTGATAAAGGTGGGCACAGGAAATTCAAGAAACCTGCCCAAGGTCACAGAACAAATCAAAGCTGCAGCTAGAATTCAAACAGATGCAGCCTCGTTGCAAAGTCCAAAGCTTCACCAAAGTTCGGTTGCCTCTGCATCACTATATCAACTGTTCAACTTCTCACATTTAAAAAATTCCTCAGTGAGTCTATAAGCTTATAGTTTTAAGGGGTTATACCCTGAAGTTAGGGACCATTATGACTGATACACTGTGTCAACTTGAGAAGTCTAGAAGTTTAAACGACTCAGCAGCTCTATATACTGAGGTACAGAGGACAAGCCATTACCATTCTAGGATGCCATTCAAGTGTGAATTTGAGAAAGTCAGAAATTTAAGTGATTCAGCAGAGAGGCAGGGTCCTTACTTTATAACATCTTCAGCCTGTGTAACCACCCAAAGGAGCCTGTTTACAATCTAAGGGAGGAAGGACCAGGGATCAGTGGCTTAAGTGCCTGTCTAGCAAACATGAGGTCATGAGTTTGATCCCCGAACCCCAACCCTAAAAAACACTGTAAGGGAAGAAAAGTGGCTTGTTCTGCTTCCATCTACCCCCCTCTCTTTCCTCTTGCTGCTTGTGCTGGCTGCTGCCTTGAAGTGTTGCCCCAGTACCATGCCACCCTGCCTTGGAGCCAGCTGATTTTAAACTGAAACTTCCACAGTGAGCTAAACAAACATTCCCTTCCTTCATTTTGGATGTTGGGTGGTTTTGTACCAGCAATGAAAAAAAGTAATCAAGATAGAATTTGGTACCAGAAGTGGGGTCTCGCTGTGACTACACCTGACCATGTGATTCAAGAGCCTTTGGAAATGGCTTATGGGAAGACTTTGGAAAAGTTCAGAGACGTCACCTGAAAGAGTAACACTGGAATGGCTTAGGCTGTTCTATATGGCTGATTCTGGTCAGAGCTCAGAAAACCAGTAAAGATCACGCTCAGGAGGTTTCTGCCAGGAAGGACACTATTGGTTGTGGACAATGTGTGTTACAGCTTGGCAGAAAGTTTGTCTGCATTTTGCTTGTGTCCACAGACTTTGCCTAAGATTAAGATCAAGGACATCAGACTAATTAATCTGGCAGAAGAAATTTCAAGACAGTTGAAGGCTGAGGCTGTGATATGGCCACTGTTGGGGTTTTTTAAAAGCCAGATTTATGTTGTAAATCAAGACCAAAGAGCCCAGTAGGATGATTTAAAACATTGTGAGTTTAGCCAGAAAGGAAATTTCAATAAAGCTATTGTCATGGTTTATGTCTGTGGTCCCCCAAGCCTCACGCAATTATGGACATGGCCAAATCTAGTATTTGTGATTGGTTCATTGTATAGTGCTTGGATTGGTGGTGTAAGTACTACACCCGCCCCAGGGAAGAGCCAGAATACTGTGAACTGGCAGGAAGAAGGTGTGTCTTTGTCTCTTCCTGGTTCACACTTGGTGTTTACCACAGCCCAGCCACGCCACGTTGCTGCTTAGAGCCAACTGAGTATGGACTGAAACCTCCAAAACTGTAAGACATAAACCTTTCCTCCCTTCATTTTCACCATCAGGTATTTTGTCTCAACAGCGAGAGCAAAGTAACCAAGACAGCTGTGGACAGCAAAGATAGAGCTGAGGACATCTCAACTGTTGAAAAGGAATGAGAGAATAAAACATGGCCTGAAGACATCACAAAAGCAGCAAGTCTCAAACCTTTACAGCCACACAACTGCAAAGGTTTTGCTATGTGGTGAAAGCTGTAGAGTACCATGTTCCAGAATGGCAGCAACACAAAAAAATTCTTCCTCAGAATTGGATTCAGAGTGCCCAGCTATCCAAGCACTTGACCCCAACAGCCAAGACAGAGGAAAGCCTGGCTATTGCTCCAACTGGCAGCAGACCTCAGCATCATCCATCTGGTGTTGGGTTTAGGTACATACAGAATGCAGGAGTTCTGAGGTTAAAAAGGCTTCCACTCCGATTTCTGAAGGCTTGGGAGGCCAGGCAGTGTGTCCCTGAGAAGGCAGTATGTAAAGCTGTGAGTATGAAGCCAAGTGGAGACCTCAGAAGTCTGGAAAAGCCAGGAGTATGGATCATCTAAGGAAAGCTGCAAGGAAGGAGCCAAGTGAATCAAAGAGAGAAGCCACAACCACAAGTGTCATAGAGGTGAAGTTACACAAGCCCTTTGGAGAACACAATTTGCCACAAATTGCTTTGGATGTTAGGTTTGCAATTATAGTACTTAATGTTTGTCTTGTTAGAGTTTGGATTTGCTTTTGTCCCAATTCTTTGTAACCTCCTGTTCGTAACATTTGAAATGAGAATGTTTGTCCTCTGCCACTCAGTGTTGGAAGAGTTTAACTCTGTTTTCATTTGTACAGCCAGTTTACATCTTACAGGAGAGTTGGGAGTTGGACTTTACAAGCAATGCTACAACTTAGGCAACTTTTAGAGATGGACTAAATGTGTTTTGCATAAAGGGATGTGTAGAACTCTTTGGGCAGCCAAGGGCAAAACATTATGATTCTAACATAGTATAATGTGGGTAGACTTAATACTGGTTCTTAATTTTTAAACCTGTGTTACCATGTTAGGTTAGGTTGTGAAATGTTAAGAATACTGGTTCTTAATTTTTAAACCTGTGTTACCATGTTAGGTTAGGTTGTGAAATGTTAAGAAGCACATCTTATAACTCCAAACCAGTTTAAAGAAATGTGTCTGGTTGCCAAGGTGACAACTGGTAGATTGTTATGGCTGATACACTGTATCAACTTGAGAGGTTTAGAAGATTAATTAAGTGACTCAGCAGCTCTACATTCTGGGGTATAGAGCACAAGCCATTAACGTTCTAGGATGATGTTCACTGGGTCAATTTGAGAAAGTTAGAAATTTAATTAAGTGATTCAGCACCGGGCCAGGGTCCTTACTTTGTAACATCCTCAGCCTGTGCAACAGAAGGCAAGCAGATGGTGTGAGTGCTGCTCTGGCTGCTTTGAAGTGTTGCCCCAGCCTTGGAACCAGCTGATTATGAAATGAAACTTGTACAAACAGTGAGTTAAATAAACCTTTTCCTTACTTCATTTTGGATGTGGATATTTTGTCCCAGCAAGGAAAGTAACAAAGACAAGCTTAACCCTTAAATACTACTACTTGAAACAGATGTTTATATTAGATACTACTTTGCCTTACAGAAAAAGACCTTTTCTTAAAACACAATTGTCAGAGAAACACTACTAGGCTCAAAATGACTGAACCTGTTATTCCTTTTTGCTTAACTTTAAAAATACAGATTAAAACAGCTAACATTTATTGAAAATCATGGATTATTATAACCTCATTTACTTTCCCACCTTTAATACGCAGGTACTTCTTATAATTTCCACTGTACAGACAGGAAACTGAAATCAAGAATACTTAAATAACGTGTCCAATAACCAATAACAGCTGTGATCTACAGGGCATTCCACAGCCTGTATTTTTTACCTGTTACACTGTATCTCAACATGTCTTATATGCCACTGAAGAATTGTGCCTAAGTACATTACATAAGGAGCAGAAAAGCACTCTGTGATTACAAATCATGTATTTATCATTAGACATCTATCATAAGAAACTAAAGAAATGGTGATATAAGTGACCACCTAGTCAATTTCCGTTAACATTACCAGATTGATATATTTTCCAGTCTAATAACTTTCTTCACCGAGGCAATATTTTTTTCACCTATACCACCTTCACGATTATTGTGCAGTAATACAAGGATTCCAGGATACAGCATTTTCTTTTTACGATGTTAAACTAAGACCGCACTCTTCTAGTAGTTTGAAACCGAGGGATGCCCTCTCTCCACTCTATTTACATTGCAGAAATGACAGACAATACTTCAACCCAATTCCTTTGTCCCTTAAAAAAAAAGTCCCTCCCAGAAAACAAGGAAATCAGTCGCAAAGTAAAACAGGGCAGTGCTCGGTGGCCACTTTCCGCAACAGCCAACACCAAACACTGGCCTGAACTCCCTGTCCAGCCCGCGTCAGCTTCCACCCCTCCCCGGCCTCGCCCTGGATGCCAAACCCGCCGCCCCGCTGCAGCGCCCCAAGTCGCCCCGCCACAGGGGCCTAGTCCGCTGCCACCCGCGGGCCCCGCACCCGCTTCAGCTGGTCCCCACCCTACTGCCTATACTAGCGGAGGGCGGCTCCGCACCGCACCCGGGACCTGGCACCTGGGGGCAGGGAGATACCCCCGCGACCCTGGGAGAAAGGAGGGCCCGGGCCATCGCCCCTACTCCCGCACCTGAGCCGCTCCTCATGTGTGTTCCGCTTGCTGGCTCTGTGCGCTCGCGCCTTCCCGGACAGGCGTGGAAAATGGTGCAGAGGGCGCCACTAGGAACCGTGCAGCCCTGGCGTCCGCGAGCCTATTACACGCCCGAGAAAACCTGAGCCCAGCGTAGGCGGCCGGCGCGGCAGCCAATCAGCGGCTGGCGCCATAAGCTGATATGACGGCGGATCGCGCGACTCGCCGGCTCGCCACCCTCCGCGGTCACGTGGGGCCGCGCTCCAGGCCACGCCCCCTCAGACCTGAGGGGGCGGGAACACCAGTACCTCGCTGGAAGCAAGCGGATGGAGTTGATCCAGGTGGCAAATTTGTTAGCTTGCTTTCTAATTGGCTGTGACTCCTACGAAGGAAGTTTCTGGTGTTTTTGTAAACGCTTGTGCAAATGATGCACTTCCCTGAGGAAAATAAAGACCTTAGGCCTGGAAGTGTAAACCGGGGCATTGGGGGGGGGGGGCGCCCTGGTGTTTATCAATGGTTGAGCGTTTTGTCGTGGAGCCGCCGTGAGTGGCCAGTTCACCCCTGGCCAACCGGTTAGGAGGAGTTCACTGACCAGAGGAGGACAGAGCTGAAAGTCTGCTTAGTACAAGTTTCTAAGATACAAGAGTACAACAGCTTTGCAGCTCGAACTGACCTTTATTTCTGATCCTTAATTCCAGGTAGGATCCCATTCTGTGAAATAGAGATCCCATAACCTGGTTGACTTTATAGACAAAAAGGGGCTGAAGAAAGCATACACAAGGAACAGTAAGGTTGGTGTTTCAGAGTTACTTTCCTAGTAGAGTTAAAAAGTTTTTGTCACGCTAACTCAGGTAAATTGGACCCTTTCTGGTTGGTTATAACATCTCTTCTAGTTGTTCGTTTGTTTGTTTTTTTAGGAAAACGACGATCCACGGGAAATGCTAAAGTGTAAGACAGAAATTATTAGACTTCAGTCATTAAAACCATCTATGTAAACATTGAATTACATATCTCTTGCTTATCTAAATCACATTTTGTCTCCTTTGTTTCCCTTGTTATTGTTATCTCATTTCATAAGTTTTGAAATTAAGATCTTTGCGTTCATTTCTGAAGAAAATAAAAGTGTGGTTTAAAGGATATTTACTTAGTATGAGAGTTCTACATTTCTGGCTGTCATGTGATAAAGCTGGCCTGTGGAATTTGTTTAGTAAACAAATATATATATATATATATATATACATATATATATATATACATATATATATATATATTTTTTTTTTTTCCCCTGTGAAACAAATTTTGTGGGAGGTCTTTGCATTTTCTTTGACCTATCCAGGTCAAACCAAAATGGAGGTGTTGACACCAACTAACATATAAGTAGACTTGAAAGAAACAAGTAAATCCTCAAACAGGATAATCTAGGCAGCCAATTTGAAAGGATTCAGACAACTTAAGTCAGTAAAATTAGGTAGTTCCTTCTGCTTTAACACTTAAGTAACATGATATATTACAATTTGCTTTCTTTTAGTATTCTTTGTTCTTACTTTATAAAAACCAGGATTTCTGTCTTGCCCGATGGTGTTCTACTTCTCTTTATAGAATGGCATATTGTTCAATTCTAGAATCGCAGCTCAATTTTGAAGAACAACTTATAATTGCATATTCTGCCAACTTTCTTATGTAATTAACTTTTTTTTTTATATGCCAGGGATTAAGCTCGCAACCTCATACTTGTCAGACAGGGACTTACACCACTGAGCTAAATCTCTGGCCATATGTGAATTAACTTTAGACTTTAAAATTTTTTCTCTTGAGAGATAAGGAAATTACCTTTGAAACACTAAGCCTCTTCAGTTACTGCATGAAAACCATTGCCTCTAGCCGTGTAGCTATCAACTGGGCCATCTAGTTACTTGAAACACCACAGCCCTTACTGTTTTTGTAATGCAGCTAAGTTATACTATGTCTCTGGTTATTGTGGGGCATTTGAATATGTGCTGTTATGGTTTGTGTCGAGATGCCCCATAAAACTTTATGTGGTCATAGGGCCTTTTCAGAGGCAGCTGAATCTAGAGTACATGGTGCAAGGACTAAGGATTAAGGGTGTGTGGATAGTTCATTGATTGATTTATTACAGCTCTAATCCAGGCATCCTAGATAGAGTATAAAAGGGGCAGGAAGACACTATTAAAGTTCTCTTGTTTTTGCTGTCTTGGACCTCCATGAACTGTTGCCTCTTTGCCTACCTTAAAGTCAGCCAATTATGGTTGAAACTTTGATAAACTGTGAGCTAAATAAACACCCCCCTTTAACTTTGGGTGTTGGATATTTTCTTTCAGCAACAAGAAAAGTAAGACAATTTGGGTCATTGCTTAACCTCACCGTGTGGTTCAGGAGCCTTTGAAACTAGCTTGTGAGAAGTTTGGAATGACTTCAGAGATGCCAGCTGACAAAGTAGAGCTGGAATGCCTTAAGCTGTACTATGTGTAAGATTCTAGTCACAACTCAAAAGGCCCAACATCTGATAGAAATAGTGCCAACAATGATCAGGCTTGGGAGGTTTCTGCTGGGAAGAAGGGCTGCAATGGTTGTTGAACTTCAGATGATACGTATAACATCTTGGCAGAAATTTGCTTATGTCCAGCATCTTGCTTGAGACTGAGATTAAGGGCAGCAGACTAAACTGGCAGAAGACATTTCAGAGCAGTCTAATGTTGAGGTGATTACATGGCTACTGTTGGGAATTTCTACTCAGATATATGTTGAGAATCAACAATAAAGAACCCAGTTGAATGATTTAAAACATCATGAGATAATCCAGAAAGGAAACTCCAAAGCTGTTGACTGCAAAGATAGAGCAGAGGCAATTGTGACTGCTGAGGGGCAAGAGAATAGAAAAAACGGCTTGATGGCATCATAAGAAACAGCAGGACTCCACCCTTTGCATCCTTAAAATTACAAACTTGAAAGACTTTGCTTTGAGAAGAGAGCCCAAGAGTACCATGTTCCAGAATGGCAGTAAGCCTAGAGAATTCATTCCTCAAGATTGAGTTCAGAGTACTTAGTTATCCAGGAACTCAGCCCCTACAGCCAAGAGAGAGAGAGAGAAGCCTGGCTACTGCTTAAGCTGACAGCAGACCTAGGCATCCTCCCCATGGTGCTCTTTTCAGGTGCATGCAGAATGGAAGTGTTGTGGAACCAGAAAAGTTTCCACCCAGATTTCAGAACAAGGCCTGTGAGGCCAAACAGTATGTTCCTAAGTAGGCAATGTGTGAAGCCAAAGGTTCAGTGAGACCCTAAATTTCTGAGAAATTAGGAACATGAATCATCTGAGGAAAACTACAAGAAGGAAGCAGAAAGAGCCCTAGAAAGAAGCCACGGGAGCTACACCTCTGGAAGTGTCATAGGTGCAGAGCCACCCAACCCACTTGGAGTTCACAGATTGTCTTGCTTGCTGCACATAGAATTACAGGACTTAACGTTTGCCTACTGGATTTTGGACTTGCTTTGGTCCCATCCCTTTGGATCCCCATGTGTACCTTTTAGAATGGAAATATCTACTTTGTGCCATTGTATTTCGGAAGTGGTTAACTTTCTTATCACTTGTACAGAACCTCACAGATAAGCTTTGTTACAGACACCCAAAAGAAAAGTGGTTAACTCCAGAGGAAAGTTAGGTTTTTCTTCATGTAAAAGTGTTAACTAGGATTTGCCTATTATAACAAATTGGAAAACTATAATTCGAATGCAACAAATTTATTTCTCACTCATATGAAAGTCAAAATTGGGTAATACCGACAAGTAGGCTGCCCTCCTCTACATGGTGATTTAAGTGTCCAACGTTTTCAGTCTTATAGCTCTACCATTATAATTTCCTATGCCCTAACTAAACAAATGGAAGACAGCATGAGGTATGTATAACTACTTTTTAAAAACCTTGGTCTGACAACTGCTCGTGTAGCCTTTTATATTCTGTTGCCTACAACTCAGTCAAATATGCACGTCTAACTGTCAGGAGGCTATTATTCTGGTAGTCCATTTTTCCAGCTCCAAACAGAGTTTCTATTGTTATAATAGTTATCTATTTCTTTTAATGAATTATTCCAAATATAATAGCTTAAAACAATAGTATTATCTCACAGTTTCTGTGAATCAGAAGGTTAGATGTAGCTTAGCTAAGTGTTTTGGCTCTGGCTTTTTCAGAAAGCTACAGTTAAGTTTCCAATTGGGGAACTAGGTATGGTGGCACACAACTGTAATCCAAGCATTTAAAAGGCTTAGGGAAGATTGCAGCAAGTTCAAAGTCAATGTGGACTACAGAGTGAGTTTGTGATCAGCATGAGCTGCATAGTGAGACTCTGTCTAAAAATACTTTTTTAAAGGACTAGAGATGTAGCCCCGTGAAAAGGCCTTGGGTCCCATCTCCAGTACCACACAAGGGAAGGGGTTAATCCCCAAATGTTTATGTGTTAAAGGCTTGGTTTCCAGATTGATGCTACTGGAAGATGTTCAGGACCTTTAGGAAGTGGGGGGCAGTGGGAGCTTCTTTGATAATTGAGAATGCTCCCTTGAAGAGGATTATGAAACCCTGGCCTCTTTGCTTTTTTTCTTATGATGTGCCCAGTCTGCTCTACCATGATCTTCCTGCCATTGGCATTTGGAGCTTTACCTGAGGCTTAAAGTTCCAATCTTGGACTGGAGCCTCCAGAGCTATTAGCTCAATAAAACTTTTCTAAGTTAATTACTTCAAGTCTTGTGCAGTGGTATTGTGAAGTTTACTAATATATAAAACTGTTACCAAGTAATGGGGCCATTACCACTGTATATACCTGAAGAAGTGAAACAGATTTTGGAATAGCTTACGAGAAGAGTTTGGAAGAGTAGGCTATAGAAATCCTAAAACACAGTTAAAAGAGCTTATTGAGTGACTTTTGTGAGAGCTTATGATATGTCTACTTGAATGGATCATGAAATGCCTAGCTTATCAGTGAAGCATAGCTCTAAGTGTGTCTGTGGATGATTGGCATGCAGGCCAGCAAACTGAGCAGAAAAGGCCAAGTGTGTGTGGCACCAACCAATAAGCTTTTAGTCTGGATGGGAAAAAATAAAAGAAGAAAGAAGTGTGCCCATTTTGAACAGCTTCCATCTTGAGCAGGGTCATCCTTTGCTGCCTTTAGACATCATTGTTCAGGCCTCCCAGTTGGGTCAGCTTTCCGACACGTACTGTCACTGTCCAGTGAGGCTTCAGGCCTTTGACTTTGGACTGGTAGTGCATCCTTGATCCCTCTTGTTCTGTTGTTTCTATTTCTTGGTTAGGCAGCTGTTACATCCTCCAGCTCTCCAGTGTAGAGATGACTCTAATCTCAAAAGCCTATTTAATAAATCTCTTTGTATAATTATCGATACATTTTTAAAAATTTTGTTCCACTAAAGAACCTTAACTACTACTCTAGAGAACCTTAGAAAACCAGAATGCTGATAGGGATGGAGACAATAAATGCCATGCAGAAGAGGTCTTAGAAACAAGACTGTTTCTTTTAATTGGTGAATTGAGACTCTTTACATTAATGATTATAACATATATTGGTTTATTGTTGACATGTTATCTTTCTACTCTTGCATTTTTATCTTTCCTTTTGTTTAATTGTCTGCCTTACTTAATGGTTTTTTCCTATGCGTGTCTAGACTGTTTTTCAGTATTCATTGAGGGTTGGTTTGGTGATAATGAAGTTCTTCAGCTGTTCTTTGTCGCGGAAGTATCTTTTTTTCTCCATCCATTTTGAAGGACAGT